AACTATCCTTGTGAGCTGCCTGAGTTTTTAAATAACCTTATTTCTCTTCAGTACCTTAATATAAAGTGTAATATAAAGTTTTGCTTCATTTTTAAAAATCCTCTCTTCTGTTGACACTGGGGGGCTGTTTGGTGTCAACGACTTATGTTATCTATTAAACATGGATCAATCTGCATCCACCACCTCTGAACAGCTGGTGCTAAAGATCCACCATTTCCCGCTCACAATCCAGCCAGAGCAGTGCCAACACATGGCAGTCTCCTGCTTGCTGAATTTTGGTAAAGGGCACAATTTAAGAGTTGACATGAATATGTTTTATCTTTCCCCATGTCCCTTCCTTTCACAAGGAGCTGTTCTGTGCAAGTTCAGCACTACTGTCTTCATGTAGGATTAGCCATGATGTTCCCAGTCATCACGATGGACTAAGCAAGGAGTAACTTCCCCACTCACCTACACATACTTCATTAAAACTTCATGTATTTTTTCTCAGATACAGGACAGAGATAATGAGCTCTCTCTTACCCTATTAGATTCAGTGTTGTTATTGTTCCATTATATATATATATATATACACATACATGTTCCATTTTTCAATGATCACCTCTCCTGTCTGTACAGCCTCCACACCCTCTTCTCTGTTCACAAAATAGGGCAATGTAACTTTTAAGATTTCTGAGGTTCTTTATCACATTTGCTGCCCTCTAAGGGAACAAAATTCCACCATAATGGTCACATTACCATGGTCATAATTTCTTAGCGTGTGATGTGGCATTCTCACTCCACATCACAGCTTCATTCTGTAAGTATCCTTTTACTTGGGATACTCTACATTATAATTTGTTGACTTTATCGTAAAAGTTCAGTATTTTTAAAATAGTAAGACCAGGCAGTATTTTGAAGAATGCACACCTTTCAGGTAATGAGCAGTAAAACATCCTCACCGTGACTCATTTTGAAAAGATAAATCATTTCAATTCTCTCACTTAATTTAAAATTCATTTCCAGAGAGGTAAAGGCTGCCTGATATTTCAAAAGTTATGGGCAAGATAATCCTGCCTTCTGCTTCCCCCAGTTAAAATGACATTTTTCAAAGAGCAAAAGCAAAAGTGATAAATTTCTGTAACTCACCATAAAGCAAACTTCTATGCCAGCTTAAAAGTAAGAAAAGTATTAGATTTAACTCAGTATGTTGAAAATATGCCTAGGTGTACCTATGAGACACTCTTCAAGTCTGAATGAAATTTGCCCAATATTATAGAGGCTGCACTGTAAATGGACGAGCCAAATGTTAACATATGTAAATTCAGGAAATAAGGAAAGTTATAAATGGACTTGGTTATGCAGACTCAATGTTACAGCACAGCTCCAGAATCAGCTCTTTTAAAACATTCTTTTAAATTTTTAAAACATTAATTCCTGAAGGACAAACTTTTCTCTTCATTTCCTTCATCATTTCTGCAAGCTCTGTAAGAGTTTGCTTTTTTTAGTACAGGAAGAGATCAAGGCTTTTTTCCCCCCCACGATTTTTACATCTCTAACATCAGCACAGTACTTGAATTGAGAAATGTAGAATATAAAATGCTTCAAGAGTTTCACTGACAGGTTGTATAATATGCTACTACTGGGAGAAAGCAAACAGGAATGTTTTTCTCAGTGCAGCTGGGGCAAATATGAAGGGACTTGCTGGAATCAAAATTAAAATTATGTCAACTGAAAAACACCAGTAAGTTGAATATTGCAAGTTACTGTCATAACTGATCAGAACAGTTTAAAGTAAAAATGCATGCACAGCAGTCAGCAGATGAGAACAATGAAAGCATTGTTAAGACTACATGATGATAGATTTAAAAACTGAAACACTCACAAGCAACTTACACAACCCAGGCACTCAGTAAATGTCACGGCAAAAGTGTTTAATGTATTCCTGGGATGTTAAAAGGGGAAAACATTTCCAAGTGTAGGGGACTACCTTGACTGAAAGCAGAAATTGTAACATAATGCCTAGAATACCATCCCTGATCCCAGTGTCTGTCCCTTCCTGACATGAGATGAAACTGAAAAACATTTAATGCTAAATCAGTGAGATTACTCAGTGGTTAAAAAACTACATCAGCAGCTCAAGTTTTCAGCATACTGAATGGAGAGTTGAGAAAGAACTTGAAAATTAGTAGACATACTTACAGTGATTTTGTAAAATTTCGTAGTGGAAATAATTACATGAGAATGATTGTAGTAGGGGAAGGAGAAAATATCTTTAAGGAAAACAAGCCAGCTTTCCAGCACATGGATGATAAATCTTATCTCAGGAGGAAATGTGAGATCTATGTAAAAACAGAGGGGGCATCTGTGTATCCAAGTTGGTTGGTAGCAATTTTCCTTAATGACGTTAAACTCTGACTCTACGAGGCCTCCTTGTTTGTTCCGCGATGCACAACAAGGGGAGCAATAACATGAAAATGTTTACTACCCTCATTAAAATATAAACACTGGCAGTTTTGCATTAAAATACATATTTTAACATTCCTGTGTCAAGGTTTTAGCCAGTTGTCTGCAAGGGTCTACTAGCACAGGATTAGGACCGTTCTGCTTTTTTAAGGAATTCCAATGCTTCTCATCATAATATTATGAGCAAATACTCTGATTTTGCTCCCATAAGGGTAAACAGACAGCTTAATTAGCACGGTAATAAGCTTAATATTCACATTCTGTAAGTAAAGCAGCTGTTACAAATAAATATCGATACTAAAGAACTTGGGGCTCTCCCTTTTCAGTTACAGAACCAGTTTGGCACCAGAAGAGTTTTCCCTGCTCCTCAGAGCTCCACTGGCAGTGCCCTTAGCTCCGAGGAGGGACATTTGACATTCCAGCACACACTTCTGCAGAATCAGAATAAGACAGCAGGGGAAATCACACAAGGAAAATTTGGCCCAGAATAAAAATAGAATGGTTTCCTGCTGCGACCACCCCAAAATTCCTGAACAACTGCCTGTGGGAAGCTTTTCTGGCATGCAGCCTGTTTGGGACAATTCTGGATATGGAAGAGTTGGCTATTGGACATCTGGTCTCCTCAGCTTCAAAACCAGCGAGATGAAGTAATGACTGTGAGTCAAACCAAAAAGGACTTGCAGATCATTAGCAGCTTCTCCTAAGTCATCCAGCTACACTAGATGGCTTAAGAATGTATTGGAATTTTTTAAAAATTCCTAATTTATTAGTTTTATGTTTTAAGAGTAACAGAGTGGCAAGAGCTCAAGAGAGAGAATGCTGACGTAAGAAAGAACAAAAATGAATATGGTGCCAGCAAATTCAATTATATCAGCGAAGCCACTTCTGTGCTAAAAGTCTGAATCTACAGTAAATCTGACATAGAGCAGGATGAAATTATGCTAAATTACTATATTAAAAAAAAAAAACCAAACCAAGAAAACACCACCATACAACAAACCAACATACAGACTAAAATTAAACTGTAATTGGATTTGTCATTTCAAAGTATTAGCATCAGATTTCCACATAATGCAGGGTGACATATTCTTGTGCTAATAAATAGAAAGTTAGAAAAGTAAACAAAGCCTGTGTTTCTACTGTAAGGAAATATGTGCGCCAATGAAGCAACCTTTTCAGCACAGAAGTAATTTAATACCCAAACCACATGAAAAGTGATCTCTCTGGGAATAGAACAGCTGCTAAAATCCAAGTCAGTTTTTATTAAATCGCCAAGTCTGTTTATGTAAAACTGGGCTCTCTTTAAATGATCTCCGAGAGGAAATTATTTGCTAACAAAAAATTGATACCTGCATTTATCTATATAGGTGTACATTTTTATTCTTTTTATATACTGGTATGTCTTGGATTGGAGATAAAAAAAAAAGAAAAAAAAAGAAATAAGCTTATTCTAACAGTTTAACTCCTCAGGCTCCACCATCAAATTTTAGCTACTGCTGAGCTGTCAGCTATTCAAAAGGGTAGACCAAACTGCTGTTATTTTTAGAAATGTGCAAGTTTAATGCTTCAACTTTTGAGGAGAAATGCACATTAAGCGTCCTTCAAAACTTGTCAAATGAACCCAGGTAGCCCAGAGGAATAAAAGGAATACTGTAGAATAAGATATTGTGCAAGTTCTCAAAAAAATGACAGTGGCCCAGGAGTTTTTGATGGCTGTTTGGAAGAAGGGCAAGTGCAGTGAAAAGAACAGAAAGAACTTCTTGCAGTCGGTCTCAAGGTGCACAAAAGGGAATCAAATCAATGGCACTCCCAAGCAGTCCAAACCACGAGTCAAAACCTCTGAAACCTCCTATCAAGATATCCCTCTCAAAACTTCTTGAACTTGCACTACATGGCCATAGAAAACTTGTGAGAGAAAACTTTTCCAGGTCACAGTACAGGAAGACAATTCAAGAGCTGCCCCACTGTTCTGGCAGGACACAGCACGGAGCCAAGGAACAGCTGCAAACTGTGAGCTGACTCAGGACTGTCAACACCAGCACCAAAATGAACAGTCTCTTCAATTAAGAAGCAATTTTTTTTTCCTCAATTGTTCTTTATATGTCTGTTTCATATCACAAAACAGAAATTTAATATCTTTACAAATACACAAAGTTGCTTAAGTTCCAGAAAGCTAAAAAGTTGTATTTATCAGACATCAGAAAGAATTTCTTAAACAATATCAATCTTATTTCTTCCCACAAAACTAAAAGATATTGACAGTATTTATGTGAAAAACCTTTCAGAAATGTTTCAGAATCCACTCTCTTCTTGGATTCTTCAGCTGACTAGAACATTTACATGGAGATAGCATGCTAATAGGTGATGTCAAAGAAACTTGGAAAACAGCAAAAAAAGAAGGGTAGGAGGGCACAAGAACTTCAGCTGAAGCAAGCTGAAGCAATTCCAATTTCTAAGGAAGACAGACAAAAAGTCAAACATAAAGCAGTCCACAGTACTCCAAGACTGACCCAGAGCAAGACATATAAATAAAGCACAGACAAACTTAGACTTACCTTGGCTGAGCAGGCTGTGCACTTATCAAATGCCAGGCTGACTGGAAGAACATTATCAAATCTTGATAAAAATCCTCGGATCTAGAAGAGGAAAGAAAATTACAATACTGTTTTAAAACACTTCCAGAATTCAACATGAACTGAAGATACACAATCTCTAACTAGGGTATATAACATTCTAACAGTCACCCTCAGTAACACCTGTAGTAAATTCATACTAACACATATTACTGTTTTTCTATATGCAAATAAAGGCACAACTATCTAAATGCAACACTGTTTAGCCAGAAATAGAGGCACAGCACCACCTGCAGTCTGCCTTTTCTGAGTGCAAAAATTTGATCAAAAATAAAAAGTCATGGCATAACCAGTTAAACATACTTTTATCGCCCATTTCTAACATATAGTCTGAAAATCCAGCTGTTGTGCATTACTAAACTGTAATGTTAATATGATAGTACTGATAGGAGAATTTAAAATTCCAGACCAAACACTTTGCAGCATGTTTGAATATTCAGACTATGAATTCTTTGGAGTATTGATCGTCCTTTTTATTCTGTGCTTTTATAGGCCTATTACAATGAAGAGATGTCATGAAGAACAGAACTTTAGTAACTCTGTAATACAAATAATAATGCCTTAATTTTGAAGTCTGTTATGGAAATCCATCCAACATACACTCCACACATTTAATGGAGCTGGAATGGCAGAGACCTGGGAAGCCAAAAGCAATTTATACTATTAAATACTATAACTAGTATTAATACAAAGGTATTTTTGCAGAAATGCCAAGCCATACATGGTATCAGAACACAAAAATACAGCCATTTTTTACACAAAGAAAGATGAAAAGAAAACAACAGAATCAAGCCTTTCTGGTACCACTGTTCTGTACTTCCAATATCCAAGGAACTCCAAGTCACTTCCTGGAACTAAATCCAGTTCATTTATGACAGTCCAAGAGTCTATGAGTGTGCAACGCTTTTTATCCGTCAAGCAATACCATCTCAAAAAGAAGACTGCTGTATTAATTACTACCCCACTTTTTCCACAGTATTTGGCTCACAAAGTGAACAAAGACCAACATAAAACACCTCCCCAAAAACTAACAGTTAATTATAGAGTCCTGGAGAAAATATTGCACTTCCCCAGTTGGTTAGATGGCTGACTGCTAAGAGAAACCAGCAGTTTGTAAAAGGATTAGATTTCACATTCTTTGAAAAAAATATTATCTGTTTTCACTTGATACCAACTGAAGCTGTATTTGTGTTAGCATGTCTAAAAGAGAAGACATTCATAACAGTCACTAAATGTAAATGTGAAAACAGGTATAGGATTGACAGAAGTCACAATTCTATGAATAGTTTTCCAGTTAAAATCTATATTTGACACGAATCATATCTGAAAGCATACTCCAAAACAGAGATAGAACGCAAGTAAAAGGGATATAAACCAAATCAGAAAGCACTGACTGGACAGTTGATATTCTCATCAGTCAAAAACACATGAACTGAGAAACCATTATTTTTCCACTAGAAACAGTATAATTTCTAAAGTTTACTAGGAAATATTCTAAAAAATATTAACTACATTATGTAATATTCCTTGCTTTTTGTTGGGGGAAAATAAATTACTTCTTCACTATCCCTTTTTAGGTGCTAAGAGAAAGTTCAAATTGCAGATGTGTTTTTCGGAGGTCTGGAGCATATCCACTATTTGAGAACAAAATCACTGTATAAGACTCACAGATTCAACTGTCAAAATTACTGAAATTATTTTCCCAAACAAACTGATCTAGCAAGAGTAAAATGTCTTTCATACTACCATTCCATATGATCACAGGAGGCATTCTGATAATAATAGATAATTAATCCCAATAATTACAGACATTAGTTTGTCAACTAAGAAAGCAAAATCTTCTCCAGTGATAAATCAGTATCTGGATCAGCAAATGAACAAGACTTAGATTTGGATTCTGCGTCCTACTGAGATGTAAGAGGTCAAAATATCGCCCTCAGCAGCTTGTGTGGGCTTGACTTGACTGACAACAGCACTAGCATTGGAACAGTGTATGGCCAGTCTTCGCAAACGAAGATTTGGGAAAGGTCATTAACCCTTCGAGCCTGCGCAGTGGATTTTTTAGGTGAGACACAGCGTGCGCTGAACTGAGCCCACCCTTTAATCCTAAGGTTCATCTGCCGGGGTCGAGCGAAGCTCGGACGGTGGCAGCGAGGTCCTCAGGACGTAGGTTTGTTTAGAGTGACCTTCTCTTAGATGGATGGCCTTACAGGGCTGAACGAGCTCCATCTGCCCGGAGGGGTTCCCTGACCGGGAATCGAACCCGGGCCACGGCGGTGAGAGCGCTGCATCCTAACCACGAGACCACCGGGGAGGCCCCCAACCACCGGGGAGGCCCCCTAGCATTGGAACTACAGATAACACTATAGGATATGGGAATAACTAAGTTATAAATAACACTGGGAAAGAAACAAACTTATCAATTAGTGCCAAAGCTGGAAATTGTTGAGACCCTTCCAGATGAGATCAAAAGTCCCAGCAGGGACAAAAGCCTCATACTGAGGGGACATGAACCAGTCAATCAAGAACTGGATATTCCTGACCAGTCCCAAGCTGAGTGTCCACAGTAAAAAGGGGAAAAACTTCAGGGGACTCCTGAGAAAGAACTGAAGAGACTCCAGACTTCCTGGAGAGAGAGAACCCAGGGAGAACCTAGGGTACCCCACTGCATAAAATGACCCAAGTGTGCACACTGGTCATTACATAAAATTATAAACAAAATCAGACAGATTTTATACAGCCCAGACCCCGAGACACTGGGATGCTGCAAAGACAACATATTAGTAGCTTTATGTTTTTCTGAATCAAGATTCATTCTTAGTGTAAAAAACCCACAAAAAACAACAGAACCTAAAAATACTGCTCAGAAACAAATAAATGGTTTATTTATACAATGGAAGCTTACAGTCATTCGGATAGCAACATAAGGAAAGAGGCACAGAATAATTCTAGTTCCCAATGACAATATCAAAGAGGATATGACTGTGGGTAAAATCAGGAGACAGTTTTTTGACTGTATAATATAAGAAATAAGAACAAGTCTATCCAGCAATTTGAAAAACTTTATCCTTAGCACATTTGTAACTAGCGTTTGGGTTGAGTAAAAGAAAAAAGTGCTGTATTGTACCAAAAATACATGAATATTTTGGAGAACTATAATAATTGTGAGTTGGCTGGATTTGAATTTTTTTCATATTCTGAAGAGATTTAAAAAGGGAACAAAAGTCACTTTGAAATGATCATATTGTCAGCTCTGATGGGGAACAGGACAGTCAGAGGTTTCCTTATTCACATATTGCCTGCTCCGACGAAATTCTTGCTATGTAGATAGCAGGATCTGTGCATCCACAAGGAGGACAGACACAATGCCAGGAACACAACTACCTTGGCCTGTGTGATGAATTAATATTATTCATATATGTTTTTTTTAAACAAACATGGAGAGTCGGTCCTTTGAGGAATGGAATCAGTATATTGCATGTTTTTGTTAAGGAGACAAAATCTGTGACATTTGTCTTTTATCAGTTCCCACGTCTTAAACAAAAGCATTTACTCACAAATTATTTACCTGATGAGGAACAAGTCCAAGAGAAGTAGGGGGCTCATTCATTCTATCATCACTACTGCTGGCCACAGCATAACCGCTGCCAAAAATTCAAGAAGGAAAATTAGAACAAGACAGCACATTCAAGAGTCAAAATTTCCAGTCAGCTTCGAGGCATTTTGTTACAGCTCACGGTTTAGAATCTGGAAAGGAACCTATCTGGAAAGTCTGTTTCAGAGTAACTAAGATACACCATGGGGATATAAATCAGTCTGAGACCTGTAATGTGCTCATGGCCAACTCCTAAGTCACTTTTTCGTTTACGGATTTTAAAGACAGAAAAAAAGCCTCGATTTCAAGTTGCAGGATTTCAGAATAATTACTGTATTAAACCCACTTAATTTTAATTAAGGTTTGCAATATGTGGCTTATCTTGAAGCCCTTCATGGGACACAGATAGTTACAACAGCTGTTCATTACACTCAAACACTGTCCAACAAGGGAATGCCAAGATCCACTAACAGCAATATTTTCTTCTCAATACTTTTCTACTGTTAAACTCAGAGAGAAAATAAAAAGAAAAACTCAAGATTTGATGAATCAGTTCTCTCAGACACTGTTAAATTACACTAATATGGTAGATGTGATCTATAGATTACATTAATCTACAGACAACACTACACCTTACAGAATTGTCCTACTTGGTGTGTACTTCCTTCTTCTCAAAAGATTTTATTGAATTTGTCTTATTTCTCAGATAATACCAGTGCAGAAATGACTCACCCTTCTGGATGCTGTAAAACAGAAACCATTAATTCCACTGCAAGGGCTCCAGCTACCATGGCTAATCCAGGGCGACTGACTGTGCACTGCTGGTCCAGTGTCCGATCCCTGGTGGACTACAAAGATAGACAATTCTAAAGGAAAGAAAAAAAGTAACTCTGTCCTGCTACACAAAACAACCTTAGTTCTGTGCAGTTAATTTCTTTGATCTTCCAAGTAAAAGATGAGCCATTTCTTAATCCCATGTACATCAACATAAAACAAATCCCTTCATGAAACTTCATTTAAAGGAAATAAAAAATTCAAGTCACCACAGAAGAAATATATAATCACCAGTTGCATAAAGTTCTACTCACATCCCCTGGTGCCACAACATCATTGCAGAAGTAGCAGCCCAGTTTATAGCCAGGGATATTTGAAAAGAGTGACGATCCCAAAAGATCAGAAGGACCAGCAGCATTGCTGAAACACAAATCACCAGACTCTTGCTGTTTTGGTTTCTTTAGGCCGTGTCTCATAACAACAAAAGTGTCAAATCCCAAGGCAGCATTGATGACCAACTGTGAACAATAAAGGGAGAACAAGAGATTTTAAGTGAGCCAAAAAGGGAGGGGAAAAAAAGGCCTCAAGGCTTTATTAACTGTAAATGTCAAAAACCCCCACATCCTGTACATAGATGAACAACCCATTAACTGCATATCTACCATCCTTGTAATAAACAATAAAGTTTCTGAAAGGTGCAGAATTCCAGTTATCAAGTGCTTCTAAGAAACAAAACCTAAATAAAAGTCTGTTTCAGAAAGGCATAAACCTTCGCCTTTTTCTGTGTCTTTCAGGGAAATCTGATACAAATTAATGACTCCAACTACCTGCTACACAAACCTATGCACACTTGCTGACAAAGAAGTAACAGGAACTTCAAGCAGTGAAACACCATCTGTTATCCAAAAAAAAACCAAAACAAACTTCTGCTCAGTAAGGAAAGCAATTAATGATTACTTATGGTCTTCATATGCATATGCTTAGTCACGTGGGGAGCACAAGCAGCTATGGCACAGTTACACTGTCATCATTTTCCCTTTTCTCTCTGGTTTTTGGCAAGTGTTAGGGTAATCTGGAGCTCTGTATGTTATAAGCATAACATCAATAAAATAATGACTGTAGCCAGTAAAATCTAAAGGAAAATTCTACGCTGCTTCACATGCAGATACTTTTGATAGAAATTCTAGTGCAGCAGTTCGTAATTTTTCATTCTTATAGGCGGGAATTATTTAAAAGAGGGACTCCGAGGGAAGCTATGAAGAATTAGCCATCCTAACAGCAAGCTTGTGAGTTGCATCATCATTCTCAGTATTCCAAATAATTTCTGGATAGTCTCTTTCGTAGTAGTTTATTCTCCCCTCACTTCTAAAGTAGAACCATGCTGTTGAATCTGTGGCAGCACAGCCAGGTCTACAGCAATTAAAAGACTGCATCTTCTCATTACATCTACCTGTAAAGCCTGAATATGGTATTCCACCTTCGAAATATCAGTAACATGGCACGGCTGGTATTACCAGAAATTAATAACATTGCCAAACACTTCCCACTGCAATAAGCTGTTTCTCTCTTTTCAGTTTACTGGCTTGCAACTATTTCAATCTAACTGATTGACCCTTAACAAAAAAACCCAGAATCATCTGGTTTGGATAAAGAGACAATGGAAAAGTGTCTCTTGGCATGCATTAAAAAAAAAAAAAGGCGCAAAATTTTACAAGTTCCAGTGCTCAAGAGGAACAAAGGTTTAACATCTGACATGAGGATTTAACACTTGAGGGGTCTAAGATGCTTGTTTTGGGGAGAGGACTGCAGGAATATCAAAGAATGACTATATGGGAAAACCAGCTCTTTCTTCTACCTATGTACCTGTTTTTATGCACTTTACACACATTCTCACTCACTAGGTTCTTCATATTCCATGTGCCTTTTTTGAGACCTTGGGGACCAAACTGCAGTACTTCAGATCTGCAGTCATCATACCAGATTGCGTTTGAAACAGAGCTCTCATTCGATGCGTGTCAGCACGAAGTACTGAGCATTTCAGTTTGGACACCTTGAGATTTACTGCTGTGCTTATTCAGTGACAGGGAATTCCATCTCCTCATATCAAAGTGATCTTATCAAATCAACTAACTGTGATGCAGACACACTATGCCACTGAATAACAGAGAAGTGTCACAAAGAAATTTTAAAATTTGTCGTCAGAATATGATTTGAATGCTGCAAGGCAAACGTAGTGGGGCACTGTTAGCTAAGCAAATGTGGGGGGAGGTTTTAGAGATCATTAAAACAACCCTGTTCTGACTAAACCAGACAGGCTGCATATAAAATATGCATATGCATATAAAATTGCATATATTTCTTACAATTACCAACCACCATACATATGGAAGAGTAGGTTGGCACTTTCCAGTTCAATACCCAGCTTTGCAAACTGACTCTTTATGCCATTTCTGAGCTTTTTTAAACAGCTAAAAGATTGCTGAAAGACCACAGGTGCAAACTGCAGAGAAGACAGGAGGATTAAGGAGGAATTGATTAAGTTATCAAGTTACACCCACTCACACCTGAAGTTATAGTTCAGTGAAGTCTGCACTAAAAAGACACACTGATCTTTCTACTGGCAAAGGGAAGTTCATTTGAGCTACAAAGACATACAAGACTATTGTTCAGGATCAGAAATCTATTTAAATTAAGGAAACAATGAAAGAAAAGAAATGGTACAATACCTTCCTCTTACTGGCTGCAATGACAGCAGGAAGCCATCGACTCTCTCTAGTGTCCATCAGTAGGAAAACAACATCATGAGTATCAATAAGCTCTTCAAGTTTAGCCACGTCCTTCCGAGCCTGTGCCATTGTTACCTCAGAAAAATTCACTGGGTGGCCTGGCATAGGGATGCTCATGTTATAGCCTTCTGAGCTCTAGATGGAGGCAGACAGAAAACAACAGGTTAAAAAGATAACCTTGTGACTGAATAGAATTAGTATAAAATTCAATACAAAACTGTAGAGTACAAATTCAATTACTCTTTGGCAGAAGGGCAACTTTCTTCTTGACATCTCTCTGTGTGACAGCGCAGTGCTAAAGTTTCTGAGTCTCAGCTGCTGTATTTATCCAGAACAGAGCAGCTCAGTGCAAACAGACTAGTTTGGGTCACGAGTGCAGACCAACCCTGTTTATGTGTCTCAGAAGGTCTTTTTAGGCCTAGCAAATCACTATGAGAAGGTATTTGAATTGCTCTTAATCCCAGAAATTACAAACATCCTCACTACAAAGGCAAGCAATCCTGTTTACATGTGACTGTGATCCAGTTGTTAAGCATGTATAAAATCTTTGTTTTGGATTCTCTTTGCAGTCACTTCATACATGATGTTCACAGGATGCAGTTCACATTTCTGATATGGAATACTGACTTAGTTACAGTAAGGCACGTGAAGTATCACACATTCTGCTCTTTTGTTTTAAATTCTTTAGTCTCAAATGATTTTACTGTAATTCAACCAGCCATATGTGAAGCTGATATACAAGAAAAGCACTTCTGAGACTTGTTACTCTAGAGCTTGGCTGTCTGGAGACTTGTACTGTGCAGATGCTGAAAAGAGCATATTCCTGTTGCAGAAACATGTTCCTCTTCCAACCCCCTACTTGGGCAAGGCATACTAAGCAGAAAACACTGAGCCAAATAAGCACATACACAATGCATATACAATGCAAACAACTCATTAATTTGGAAATACATTAACACAATCTGTCAGCCATCTGCTGTAAGAGAAGAATGGATCTTCATATATGTTAAAGCATAAGCTTTGCCAAAGCCTCCCTGCCTGTCACTGTGCCCTAAGCAACCAACAGTTTAAAAGACAAAATTTAAAAGCTGGATGAACCAAAGATAAAATTGCATGGGAAGAGAGAAAAGGAAGGTTGGTGGAATGTGCTTTTTGTATAGACCGACTACAAAGCACAACTCATAAATCCAGGTGAGGTAAATAACCAGAAGGGTGAATGTACATTCTAAACGTCACAAATATCTCTGAGGATGATAAAAAGAACAAGGCACATATAGCAGCTTGGGAAAATTAATTCAGTAATATCTGTATTAACCACACCAAAGGATTTACTTTTTTTTTCCCCTTTTTCCCCTCACTGCCACCTCCAAGGGCAGGAAAGCAGAGCCCACAGTGACCCAGCATGCTACCAACAGGGAGCTGTTTCCCAGTGAGAACAGCTCTATATCACCAGCACAACACTGGGTAATTACTGAAGGAGGTTCTACCTTCAGGGTCATTATACCCTCAAAAAGCTGTGGCAGGAACAGAAAACTTAATCCATGTTGTACATGAATAATGTATTTATAGATAACTCATTAAGTCATGCTGCACACAAGTGCTGATTTATTACATAAGCATAACTGACACTGCTGGTGACTTAGGAGGTTGATTTTTGTTCAATAAATTAACACAAACAAGTAGACAAATGAGTTAAACACCACTTGCATAGAAATACGGTAACCGGGTTTGTAAAATACAAAAATCTCAGCAGAATTCAGAAAAAAAACATCCTGTGACTGTAGCTGTAGGAATACAGACAAGTCTAGCAGCTTCAATAGTTTCAACTGTTCCTTGAAAATGTCATGGTTTGAGAGCCCCAAAATCCAATTCCCTAGTCCAAGCCCCCTCCCACATCTCAACCCAGTGTGATATGGGTTTTCCAGACACCACACGAGACTCAAAATGGGGGGAAGGGAATATATATTACAATGACTGTACAAAATAAATACTACAATACATTATATACAATCTTAGCTATCTCTAACCATGACAAAACAGTATTTACAATGGATCAAATCTCTTCTCCCCTCCAAATAAAAGTCCAGGAGGGAAGAAGGAAAAGATCTTTTCTACTTTCAGAGCAGCAGTCTCTACGGCAGCAGGCTCTCTTCTTCTCATGCAGCAGCTGTAGCTGGATCTCTGCCAGTATCCAAGCCCCTTGGCCCATCGTCTCCAAGCGAGGGTCTTCTCTTCCGTGGACTGCGTAGCAGGGACAAAACTCGCTTCACCACATCATATCATGGGATGTAAGACCCCCCATGAAGGTCCCTTCCTCAGGGGATTCACCCCTGAGTCAGAACATCTCGAGCAGCTTTCAGTTGAAGGCCTTTGCCTCAAGAGTTCTATCAGAGCTTCTGTGCTCTGATCTCAGGCTGCTAGCTTACCTTGGCAGCAGCGGCGAGGGGGGCCAAGGTCACCCCCTCTGCATTCTTTCTCTGAGCTTTTCAGCTCCTTTCTGCAGTGCTGTAGCACTCCAGACTCTTCTCAAGCAAAAGTCAATCATCCTCCTCCTAGGAGGGGTCTCAAAGGAGTTTGGGGGTTTTTTTTGGTTCTTACCCAAACACTCTCTCTCTCTGTAGAGCTTAGTCTTGCTCTCTCTGCTGCTGGCTCTCCTTCTCTCGGACAACTCTGTGTCTCTCTTGCTCGGCTGCATGTTTGTTTCTGCTGCTTCTCCCTTACCTCTTCTGGCTCTCTGCCACTGCTCTCTGGACGCTGCTCATGCTGCTGCTCTGTCTGCCAACTCACGGTGGAGAAAACTTCTTTAGCTTTCTAGCTACAGGTACTTAACCCAGTTTTACACTGTTCCAAGTCCCTGCAGCCCCTCAGCTGGGGGCTGAGGTGGGGGGGGCGGCAGCCCCCAGTGGGGCTGCTGCTGCTTCTCCTTGTGGCTCTACAACATGGCTACTTCTTCAACTACAACAATCACCACACCTTCTCTTCTGGTCTGCTTGTGATATGTTTATATTTTGCAGAAGCGCTCATTGGGTAAAACCTCAAGGGTCACCACCCCCTGGGGTTTTACCATTTTATAACTTCAGGGGGAAAACTGTTTCCCCCCACCACAACCAGTCACTAGCAAAAGTGGCTGAGGTTCACTTTTGCAGCCACATGCTGGCACAAAGAGCTCAAAGAGTAGCTTGGGATGCCACATGAATATTATTTTAAGGAAGAATAAATACACATATATCCCCAAAGACAGATCTTGCTCATTCCAAAATCTCAGGAGTCTCTATGTGATGAAAAGAATTCTGCTTCACTGCTCACAAAAAAGTTTAGATTTTAAGACCTTCACGCTAAAAAAAGTTTTTAAAGTTACCATCTCATAAAGTCATAGAATCACACAGAACTCCTTTTTTTTAGAAGTATGTTGACACGTGCAAAACCATAAAAGATAACGTACTTTTCAACACTTTCACTGACAGCTGATCAAAGCTGTGCTAAAGGCTCTAGTGCTTTTGGGTTTTTTGCATTTCTTTTTAAAGCCAACAGCCAAAATATTGCAATTTGTGATGCTACCATAACATTCTCTCTCATTTTTATTCTCATTTCTATTAACTTTCTGCATTTTTGGTTAAACCATGGCTCAGATCACTTAGAATATAACTGTGTTCAATACATTAAACCTGAACAGAAGTGTGTAGGTACATACAACATTAAGAAATGGGGTGCTGGCATCATTAAATTGTTCTATGAGAAGCATCTACATAAAGTGGCCCCCTCAGGCAGTACAGAATAAAGGATGATAAGATGCTAAATACACTGGAGTTCCATGCCTGAATAGTTCAGGAAATGACTATATAAGAGAGGTAAGAAAGTTAAATTCCACAGAACAGCTACATGAATGACTCTGTGCATTACCTACTTGTTAAGAAAAGCTGTAAATCCATAAATGCTGCTATTTCCAAGGCCTCTCTTCTTTTCTATAGTAAAACTCTAAACTACAGCTAATGATAATCTTAGAAGTGGAATGAAACAAATCAAAGCTCCTTGCCAAAGCATTCCTTCTTGTTTCATCTGCAATGATGAGGTGGTTACTCTTCCAACTAGAAAGGATGCAAAATTAAAAAATAAAGCAGAATTCACAGAGAGCAGTCAAGCATTTCAAAGTCAACCAGGAGAAACTGCATTTTACATGCAAAATATTACTCAAAATTGAATCAAAGAAAGTAAATCAGACTGCAAACGTAAACCCAAGTTTTCAGAAATGCCTTCAGAACCAGCATTGCTGATTGGATTCCCTCGGAAAGGACCATGTGGGTTTCCGAACAGCAAGAGACAGCTTTGCTACTCCTTCAGTATGAGAGAAATGAGAAGGCTCAAAATCCAGGACAACTAATCTTCTTCTTCAAAGACATTTATACTGATAAATCTGGACTTTGGTAAGAAGCAAAGCACAGTGTGCAGGAACAGCTGTAGCTCCGTGTGGAGAAGCCCAGTGCAGTCACTGGACTACGAACATCTCCAGCTACAGCAGCTTCACTGTCCAAACCATTCCAAGGCACCAAGATTTTACCCTGACTAATTAAAGACTTATTGTTAGTCCTTGCGCTTGGCCTGCCACTTGAACCTCACGACTCACATGCTGCCAGCATGATATGAACTGTTTGAACCAGAGGTTTTACTGGGAAGCCCTGTTAATTCTTGTTGGTGCTGGCATGTAGTTTCTCTGTTTATTTACAGATCCTCAAACAGGATCCCTCTTCTCCATGAATTCTACTGCAGGAATGAGATTGACGAAAAAATATATCAGAAACATTCTATCCTGTGGGTACACAGGAACTGTGCAATTGCTTTCTCCTCACTTGTGCCAAAAAGCTATGAAACCAGGTGTGAGTCCCACTGAAGGCTGATCAGATGTGACACATCCATGGCATGAGGAAAACACAGGGAATGCATAACACTAATGGGGATACTGTGCTACAAAAACAGTGGGAGATGCAGAATATTTGAGGCGTATAGTAGAGGAAAAATTCCTTACACACAGTACAGGTTGCACATCGTATATGCTATTACCAAACAGGAAAATTGTTTTTTTCCCTGTGTATAGCAAATATACATGTATATACATCATCAATACAGGCTCACTAAGGCATTGTTATTGGCTCCCCTTTATTACTAGAAGCTCTTCTCCAGGTTACTTTTAACTTTTTTTTTTCCTTTTTATTTTTCCCAAGCCTCATCACAATCTCACGATTCCATGGTATAGTTTGGTCTCTTGCTTTCTTGGTTATTTCTAACAAGAAAACTCATAACCGTACAAGTCAGGATTCCACAAACAGCTTTTATTTCCTCCAATTAAAGTACTCATGCTTTCTTAATATTCCTGTTTTTGAGTTCTCAAGTAAAAAAAGTGAGAAATCATGTGACACATGCCCTAGAGGGCATCCTGTTAGTGCTCTTTGTGACACTGCACAGATGCTTTCTCTTCTGTACTTGATATTTAATATTTCTATAACTAAAGGAGTATCACCAAGTAACAGCAACACTATAGTGCAGCAAGCTTAAATAAAGCTCTTGGAACTTTCAGAGAGTTTCTTATGGTTTACTTACCGAAAGTTCTGAAAGTGAAATGCTCAGAATTTTTTCATACTGGTAATCATTGTTTGATACTCAAATATTCACTGAATTACTACTTAGTAGCAATGCTGACTTCATAAATGATAATAGTAGGATAATAACAGGGTCAACACAGAGAGAAGAATAAAACTGAAACTAAACGAACCTAAAGATGTTTAGAAATGATCTGTAAAGTTGTTCACAACGCTGAACACCAATGACATAATCTGTATTTCTCTTTTCATAACTCCTAACATTATTATGACTAGCAACATAGTAGCACTTTAAACACAGAATTGCATAGTGAGCGTTCTTACTACACTGTTTGCCAGCTGAGCTCTGGTAACTATAGCTACCCATTCTAAGACAGTCTCAATTCCAAAACAAACACTCTTTAATCAACAGCTGAGTGACTTTGATCACATGCCAAACTAGTCTAAAAATTTTTTGTTCATGATAGAGGATGCTGAGAGTGTGTCTATTCTGAAATTATAGGCCAACTACTTTTCTGGAAGTTAACCATTAACTTATTTTCTTCTAATGTAGAAAATCAATTAAATAAGTGTGAAGGACCAGGAATCAGAATGGGGAAAATCTCAGAAGTGGAAAGAGATGTACAGTGATTGAAAGGACTTTATGATACAGACTTTACAGTTATTATGTATATATACATTGTATGCTTCTCCAGAATTAATATTTCCCGGGCATGTCCCAGCCTGTTCACCTCCCTGCTCACCTCCCTGTTCCTCTGTTTCTCTGCCGATTGGCTGGAGAAGCTGCAGAGAGGGGACAGCCTCCATTCGCCCCTTCTCTCCCCGGTTCCTCCCTCTTCTGCCCATGTCCCTATCCTGGTTTGTCCCCCCGCTTGTCTGTCTCATGCTCCGCCCTATGTTCTGGCCCTTTCCCCTCCCGAGCTGATAAAAAGACCGGGTGCACGCGTGAATAAAGCATTCTACCTGCATCCCACCTTTGTGTCCTGGGCTTGTGTAGTGCCACGGTCCCCCACCCCTTTCGGACGGCGGCAAATAAGACTGCAAATTTTTAGTATAAAACATAATAGAGAATCTCAATGATACATTTATTACAGTTTCAAGACCTGCTCCCATAAATGGACAATTAATATGTCTGATCTCACATTTAGGAGCAGAAAGTTCCTTAGGACATACTAGACAGAAATACATTTTACTTCACCATCAACGAGCTACAAGATAATTCAGATGGTGCTTACTTATATTTCATGATTACAAATATTTGTCTCAATAAAGTTTAACAGGTATGGAGTATCTGAAGTAAAATGCTTGCAGGTTTGTCAGTAACCAACATATCACCTGTGTAGCATTTTTCCTCACTCATAATAATGTTTAATTACTAGCACGTGGAATAGCAATTTAAAGTCCCTCGTTTTCTTCCAAGCAATGTATCAATATGTTGTAAAATACTGATCTTACCACTCCTGGGAAGATTTTCAGTAGCCTGTCTGCTGCTGCAAGTGCCTTGGGCTTCCCCCCACTCAGACAGTCCTCAAACTCGTACAGCGGCTGCCGCACGGGGTTGGAGTAGGAGATCTTTGCATTGTCCACAAATGTGATCTTCCTGACTCCCCAGCCCTAAATGAGAAAGGAGTTGAAATAATGACAAGTACAATAGCCTTAGATAAATACTTTTGAGTAATGCCAGACACATTGTCCATTTTGCTTCTAGAAAGATCAAGCTACAAAAGCTTTTGAACCTTGTACTCACACAGAAATCGAAGAACAGAAAATATAGTCTGTCCAAATATATCATTTAACAGTAATCCCTCAAAACCTGAAACATCCCTGAAAGCAATTATCAGCATAGTTAGTTACTTTTAAGTGCTTCACTGTGAATTTGATCATAGAATCAACCAGGTTGGAAAAGACCTCCAAGATCAAGTCCAACCCTTGATCCAACCCTGCCGTGGTTCCCAGACCATGGCACTGATGCCATATCCAGTCTCATCTTAAAAACCACCAGGGACGGTGACTCCACCACCTCCCTGGGCAACCCATTCCAATGTCTGATTACTCTCTCTGTAAAAAATTTATTCCCAACATCTAACCTAAACTTCCCCTGGCACAGCTTTACACTGTGCCATCTTGTCCTACTGCTGGTTGCCTGGGAGAAGAGACCACCTCCCACCTGGCTACACCCTCCTGGCAGGTAGTTGTAGAGAGTGAGGAGGTCTCCCCCAAGCCTCCTCTTCTCCAGGCTGAACAGCCCCAGCTCCCTCAGCCTCTCCTGACACCACTTGTGCTCCACTCCCTTCCCCAGCCTTGCTGCTCTTCTCTGGACCTGCTCCAGCACCTCCATGTCCTTCCTGAACTGAGGGGCCCTGTCGAGGACCAGGAATCGGAATGGGAACGATTCCGGAAATGGAAAAATATGTACAGCGATTGAATGGACTTTACACATTGTGTGTTTCCCCCGAATTTGTATCTTCCGGGCATGTCCCGGCCTGCTCACCTCCCTGCTCCTCTGTCTTCTCTGCCGATTGGCTGGAGAAGCTGCGGCAGGAGACAGCCCCCATTCGCCCTTTCCTCCCCTGGTCCCTCCCGCGCTCCTCCCCCCGCCTGTCTGTCTCCTGCTCCGTCCCATGTTCTGGCCCTTTCCCCACCTGAGCTGATAAAAGAACCCCGGGCACGCTTCAATAAATCATTCTACCTGCACCCCACCTTTGTGTCTCGGACCTGTGCTGTGTCGCGGCCCCATTCCCCTCCCCCCGTTCGGACCACGGCAGGGCCCAGAGCTGGACACAGCACTTGAGGGGTGGCCTCACCAATGCCAAGTACAGGGGAAGAATCACTTCCCTGATCCTGCTGCCACACTGTTTCTGATCCAGGCCAGGATCCATTGGCCTTCTTGGCCACCTGGGCACACTCTGCCTCATATTCAGCTTCCTGTCAATCCAAACTCCCAGGTCCCTCTCTGCCTGGTTGCTCTCCAGCCACTCTGTCCCCAGCCCGTGGGGCTGCCAGGGGTTGTTGTGGCCAAAGTGCAGGACCCAGCACTTGGCCTGCTTGAACCTCATCCCATTGGAATCAGCCCAACTCTCCAGTCTGTCCAGGTCCTTCTGCAGAGCCCTCCTGCCTTCCAGCTGATCGACACTCCCCCCAGTTTGGTGTCATCTGCAAATTTGCTAATGGTACACTCAATCCGATCACCCAGATCATCAATAAAAGATTAAACAGAACTTGGCCCAACACTGATGCCTTGGGGACACCACTAGTGACCAGATCCTAACTGGATGCAGCACTGTTCCCTACCACTCTCTGGGCCTGGCCCTCCAGCCAGTTCCTAACCCAGCACAGAGTGCCCCTGTCCAAGCCATGGGCTGAGGCTTTTCCAGGAGTGCGCCATGGGAGACGGCGTCCAAGGCTTTGCTGAAGTCCAGACAGACACATCCACAGCCTTCCCCTCATCCACCAGGCGGGTCACCTGATCATAAAAGGAGATCAGGTTGGTCAGGCAAGACCTGCCCTTCCTAAACCCCTGCTGGCTGGGTCTGATCCCTTGTCCATCCTGTAGGTGCTGTGTGATTGCACTGAGGATGATCTGCTCCGTAACCTTGCCAGGCACTTAGGTCAGGCTGACAGGCCTGGAGTTTTCTGGGTCCTCCTTGTAGCCCTTTTTGTGGATGGGCATGACATTTGCCAACTTCCAATCATCTGGGACCTCCCCAGTGAGCCAGGGCTGTTGGGAAATGATGGAGAGAGGCTTGGCAAGCTCTTCTGCCAGCTCCCTCATCACCTTTGGGTGGATCCCATCTGGTCCCATAGACTTGTGAGGATCCAAGTGGCTCAGCAGGTGGCTAACTGTTCCATCCTGGATTACAGGGGGGCTGTTCTGCTTCCTGTCTGTCTACCAGCTCCAGAGGTCAGATGTCCCGAGGACAACCTGTCTTACTGTTAAAAAGTGAGGCAAAGAAGGTGTTAAGTACCTCAGCCTTTTCCTCATATTTCATGACTATGCTCTCCCCATGTCCAATAAAGAATGGAGGTTTTCCTTGCCCCTCCTTTTGCTATTGATGAATTTGTAGAAGCACTTCTTGTTATCCCTAACAGCCATGGCTAGACTGAGTACAAATTATGCCTTTGTCTCTCTAATTTTCTTTCTACATGACCTAACTGTATTCCTAAACTCATGAGTAGCCAGCCCTTTTTTCCACAGTCGGTAAGTTCTCTTTTTTCCCCTAATTCCCTTTAAAATCTCCCTGTTCAGCCAGGCTGGCCATTGTCCCTGCCGGCTCGCCTTTCAGCACACTGGGACAGCTGCTCCTGTGCCTTCAAGACTTGCATGTCCATCCCTTCTGGACCCCTTTGTTTTTCCAGGGCTGTTTCCCAAGGTACCCTGTGAACTAGTCTTCTGAATAGACCAAAATCTTCCCTCTGAAAGTCCAGGGCAGAAGTTTTATTGATGGCCCTCCTTGCATCTCTGAGTATGGAAAACTCTCTTATTTCATGGTCACTGTGCCTGCCCCAGACGGCCTCTGACCACCACATCTCCTACCGGCCCCTCTCTGTGAACAGCAGGTCTAGTGGGGCCCCACCCTGGCAGGCTCATTTACCAGGTGGAGCAGGAAATTATTCTCTATACAGTGTAGGAATCTCCTAGACTGCCTCTTCTCCACTGTGTGGAGTTCCCAGCAGACATCCGGCAGGGTAAAGTTGCCTACAAGGACAAGGGCTGGCGATTTTGAGACATCCACTAGCTGCTTGTAGAATAATTCATCACCCTCATCATCCTGGTTGGGTAGTCTGTAACAGACTCCCATCAGGATATCAACCTTGTTGGCCTTACCCGATTCTGATCCACAGGCACTCAACCTTATTCTTACTGACTTCAAATTCTACAGAGTCAAGAGACTCTCTAACATATAGAGCCACCCCTCCACCCCTCCTACCTTGCCTGTCCCTTCTGAAGAGCTTGTAGCCACCCATGGCAGCACTCCAGTCACGGGAGTCATCCCACCATGTTTCTTTGATGGTGACCACATCCCAGTTTTCCTGCTGCACAATGGCTCCCAGCTCCTCCTGTTTGTTACCCATACTGCGTATTATAGCTCATTAAAATTAACGAGAATTTCTTGTTCAATCTTTTTTAATGTAAATTCAAAACAAGTACTATTCTGCCATGGTTCTCTGACTTTCTGCTATTCTACTATTAGCAGAACTTTTTGGCTACGGATCTTACCTCTTCCCTGCAATTTACAGTATCAACTAATTATGCATTATGTGTATTTTAATGCACAGGAATACAACTTTTCTCTTATGTATCATGGCAGCTGCACAAAAAAAAGAAACACAGAATTTATAAGAAACAGCAGATTAGTTTTAAGATTAACTCAGGACTTACCATCAAGGTCCTTGCAACACTACAACCCAGTGTACCAGCTCCTAGCAGCAGACACTTGGCAGACACAATCTTTTCCAAATCCAGAGTAGGCACCAAACGCCAGCACATCAATTTCAAATTAAGATCCACAGATGATTCTGCTAACCTAGACCACAAAATAAATAGCAACACACTTCTGAATGCTCTTGTGTTTCTCCAACAAAGCAATTACTTATTTTTCAACTGGAGAAGTTCAAGACTTATTTTTTTAAAGGAGAGAAAGAATTTTGCGATTTAACACATCAGTAATACGACAAACAAAGTCTCTCAAGCATATTTCTACCTAATAATAAGGTGCATGGCAAGGACAGTGGAAAAACTTTTTTTATGCTCCTTGTTCACTCATGACACATGCAAAACATGCAAAAAGAAGATGCCAAAAATCATTCTAAATAAATACACACACAGTTCCTGATACTCAGTTTCCTTGGAACCTCTTATTGTAACCAATGTGTTGGCCCAATAACATTCTTAGAAAAGCTGTGACTGCACCGCTTAAAAACAGAAGAGTAAATCACTACTGAAGAAACAGTAGAAAGATAGTGGAAGTTTAAAAGAAATAACTTGTAGATATTTGAAAAGATGGTTATTAAGCAGGAAATTTTGCTAGGAAAATGTTCTCTTTCATAAGCCTGGATATACTAAAAAGGTGTCAGGTGGCCACTCTGGACTTGCTACTAAAGCCACATACGTCCTTTGGAATTGGAACAGGTCTCTAAGAGCTTCTGAAAAAGGTAACAATCCAAAATTAAAATTTTAGTAACAAAACTGATGCAAGCATGAAAATAAAAACAGTGTCTCAGACAAGATTCCTGTTAAGATCATTTGCCCATCAACTATTTTTTCTTCTTTAAATTGGTTTCCCGTATGCAATTACACCTGCCCTTAACATGAAATATTACATTTATCCCCTAAAGAATCTGGTCAGTTCTTTGTGAAAGTTTTAGAAGGAAAATGAGGTAGGAAATCCATGTTCAAGCTAGTTTCGGATTTTTATATTCATCAGAACACAGGGTGTTAAAACTCTCATCAACCAGGTCATCACAGCTCTCAGATTCCTAAAAGTTTCATTCCCTTATACATCATATAAAAAATTTTGCAGTATCCACTAAATTATTTGTTCAACAAGGATTTAAGATGGCAACTGTCAAAGCTAGCATATTACCAACATCCCCTGTAGGAAATAACAGAAGTGAACATGCATAAAATAAAGAAGTTACATTTACCTATAATTAAGAGTCCTGAGATGAACTTTCTCGAAGGAAGTATGAACATACTGAGAATTGCCACAATTGCAAGACAAAAATGGCTTTGCTTGATGGGTAAAAGGTTAACCTGAATCATTTGATCAGCACACTCTTACAGTGTTTCCAAGCCAAGAACACAGATGCAGCCAGTGAAAGCAGACGAGCCAACAGGCCCTGTAACTCTTTTCAATCCATTAGTGAATGATAAAAATCACTAAAGTCATGTTTCCTGAGCTCTTTCCTGTCACACTCTAACAATTCCCAAAGGCTGAACTTTTCTCCATGCTTATTATCATTAACAACCTGCAGGTTATAGAATTCAGTGAAAACCACAGGCCTGTAACATCATGGCCTACATCTCACTCAGTTCTAAATACAATGCATTTGAAATTTTAAGCTGAAGTTAAAAATGGCAAAGATTTCTGCTGCAGGCAGTGCACTGTTCCATTAAGGTTCTTCCCTCCAAAAGGACTGCCAAAACAATACCCAGTGTATATGTTACTGGATATTCTGACCTAAGAGACAGATACTCCTTGCATTTCACACTTCCAACTTGTTATGGATTGAGCCCAAGTAAAGAAAACTACTGGAATTTAAAAGATAAAAACCAAACCTTTTTGGATCCATGCACTCACTGAGATTCACCATCCTCGGACCCATGCCTCCCTTTTGGTTTTTCTCCCATCCAACAGCTTTTGGACAATCTGTTTGACATATGGAGAGAAAAAAAATGAAGAAAAAAACAAAAGAAAGAATGAAAGCCTTAATATCACAGGATAGAAAAAAGAAATTTTGTTGGATTTAACATTGTTGTAAAAACACTAATGCTAAACTTTTAAGTAAATAATCTGTATCTTAACCACCCAGTGCATGTTGCTACACAAATATTGCTGATTTCATCACCTGAAAGCATTGATTCTCAGAGAAGTGCTTTGCCCTCAGGTGTCCCATGTGCTGCTCTTGCCTGTTCAGCTTGCTTTAAACCTAAAAGAGACAGCACCATTCCCCGTCAAGCCTCCAGATCTTTAATGTCAAGCTCAGTAAATTCATAAATCAGAACTCAGTAAATTTTGCCAAGTTCAGTCATTTCTTCACGTTCCCTAGACACTACCTGTGAATTCAGTGGAGAATTATATATATATATACATATATATATAATTAAACAATTCATAAAAATGATATATATAAAGCATTCAGAACTTTTTGGATGAGGTAATGTTGTGATAATGTCCTTTAACTCTGAAATTATGCTTGAGCATTACGTATGTATTGCTCTAAAATACATCTGGATATGTCACTACGGGATTGAAGAAACAGTTTCACTCTGCTCCAGGCTTTTACTATTTTAGCAATATACAGAAAGTTTACACCGTATAAATTCACTATTATATGCATTTTTTTCTACCTGAGGAACTGTGTACAAATTTAACAAGAACATACTGATTGCCTGGGCTTTTTGTATTTCATATGATACCAGGAGGACTTTTCTTGTTTTTAAATTAGAAACACAATTAATGTAGGAAAAAATTAAAAGAGAATATGCTCTCTTCTTTCTTGTTGAAGACAGAACCATTTCCTTTGTAGACATTTGACAGAAATTCAAACAATTTAAAATCCCTTTGAAATAACTTAGTATAAGCAATGACTTGGTATGATTATTTTATTTTTCTGTCTCTGCAGTGATTGAGGAGGGAGAAAAAAAAATAGGAATTTTTTTTTAACTGGATTACCTTGGCCAAGGGGTTTCTCTGGAAGTTTTATTTCAAAGATAATGCTGTGTGTTATGTCCCTCACCCCTTGCATGGTCCTGTCTCTGAAGCAGAGCACTTCAACTGTCTGGAGAATGTTGCTCCTGCCATTAAAAAAAAAAAAAGATAATAGAGACAGACATGCAACTTCTTTAATAGAAGAGGGACTTCTTTTAAACACCATTTCATAAAGGTTTAGTCCCTTGTAGATTCTGAGTAAGGCTTTTTCTCAGGCACAGAAATAGAACAGAAATAGAAACAACTCCTTAGGATATGAAAATATGAAAATAACTAGTTTGCTGTGAACAGTTCTATGTAATGACACTGTCAGCCTGTCCTCTCTCATATATAAAATGCTGCTGGACAAACTGTATATTTAGAGGAATAAAAAGCAGGGAATCACTAGAGCACATCTCAGGTGACGATGGACTGTGCTATGTCACAAGCAAGATCCTCTTAGTTCTCAATATGGTATAATTTTTCCTCCTTATGATTCAAACCCTCAAATCAACCAATAGAACTTGAGTGCCTAAAACCCCCTGAATCCCAAGAACATGCAAACCCCTTGGCTCTTACAACATCTTTGCACACTGGCAGCCCAGAAAACACACCCAACCCTGCACATCTTCTCCTGAGTGCTTTGGAATAAAACATGACAGTCAAAACTATGGCAGTGCAGCTTAATTACAATTTTGTTACAGCAACACAAATTTATTTGATCGTTTAAATTATACTTCTTTTCCAAAAACCAGTTTAAATTATACTTTTTTCTTCCAAAAACCAGAGCGTAAAACTGTCCTGTCTCCCATTTTCTGTCTAACAAAAAAAATTCAAGATGGTACACTACAAGAAAACCTAAGAATATATGATTTTCAAAATTGAGGTCCACTATTACTTGACACTAATAAATGATATAAATTCATAGAATACTTTTAACAATATTTGAAGCATCTAGCGGGTATTATCGGGGTCTGAAGCAGGTATTTCCAGGCACGTGCATTCATGTGAGGATTAGGATTAATAGGAACTTGTGGTTCACAGAAATAAAAACCAGAATAATATATAAAATCAGAATCACTCAAGGTGAGGCATGTCGAGGGTAAAAGCAAAATCTCAGATGGGTGATACAAGTAAAGTGCCATGGGGAGAAAAATGCCTAATTTGGTATCAACCAATAAATTAGCTTTGTGTGAAAGAATAAAATAGATACCAATTGTGGGCTGCCAGGATCAGGAAATTTCTCAGTGGCCATCCTGGATATTGGGATAAATTACATGGATCATAAACTCCAACCGTCACCTGCAAATAAAATTGATCTGCATGAGAAGTCATCTATTCATACATCTATTAATTCAGTTCACAGTAAAAGTTATCTGGCATTTTTAATGTAAAAATTCTGGACAGGGAAGGCCTACACACACATTTTGCATATTTACAAATATTTATTATATAGTTACACTAGATTTCAGTCAAGCATTTGCCACAGCTTTGACATTTATTTAGTTTGGCCTCTTTATTGACATTCAATGTTCACTCCAGTAAATGCACCTTCCTTACTTTGCTTAAAAACACCATTATGAGAGAAGCCCATCAACTGAAGCCTTGCTTTCAAAACAAAACTCTGTATTCACTTTGGAATGATCAAAAAGTGAAGGGACACATGTCAGCAAGACAATAAATAAAAGGAAAACCAGCATAAAAATCACTTGTAAAGCCAACCTTCAAGATGGTACCATTGTGCCCAGCTCAGTATCACAGACAATTTTCAAACCATTTGAAAATTAAACATTTATAAGATTTAAAATTCTCATTACCTTTCCCCCTTGGTCTTGAAAGAAACCATCCCACTTTTTCAATAGAGATATCATGACAGAATTGTCGTGATACTTGATTAAAAAATAAGGCAGGGCTGTAACTCCCTCTTTCTGGCAAAGGTCATCATATGCTTTCTGAAGTGCTTGAATCTAAAACCAAAAAGACAACTGTAACCAACAGTTTTAACCACAGTAACAGAGATAAAAAAATTAAGTTGCTAAAACAGCATTTGTCAATGTAAATTTAAACAGGAGCATTATTATCATTGCCACAAACTGATGTAGCAATAAGAATTAAACCAAGATAAAAATCTCATCCTGATAGTCAGAGAAGCTTTTTAGAAACTAAATCTGTCCCTTTCTTATTAGGAAAAAAACAGTCCGACTTAATTTATTTCACTAGGTGCATTTTCAGTGTTTAGTTAAAACTCTGTCTTTGGATCATGACTGTTAGGTATTTTTACACTATTTACCACTACAGAAAGGTCTTCCAAGAAGGGATATAAGTATTTTTCACTGAAAAAAACCAAAATTGTTTCTCATTGATTACTATTCCATTAAAAAGCCATTCAAGGTTTTGCATTAACTTCTGTCAAAGAAAAAAGGCACATGTGGGCAAGTGGATTTTTTTGGTTCTTTTACACTGTAGTATGACAGAAACTCAAAATAGTTATCTTTTCTCCTTAAAAAAAAAATCTTCCCCATTAACTCCTTTTCTTTATCCAATCATTTATTTTAACAATTTTGTAATTTTAATGACTTCGTTCTGCCAGGGGATGCCCTTTTAAAAAATTTTCTTTTATAATGGGTTTCAAACACATTGCTATATATTCATTAAGCTGTATATAAAAAAAAATTAACATAACTGCCACTTTAAGAAGTGTTTGCCACATCATTTGCTTCATTGCCTGAATCATTATTGCCTCATCTAAATGAATAAAGGTGAAGTAATGTTAAGCTGAGAGATTGTATACAATAACAAAAAAAGAGGTAAACAAAACACCCACTTGGAAATAAGAAAAGTGAAGATTTTAAAAGAAATTAGGTTCTCAAATTAATTCAGTACGTGCTAACAAAAAATACTAAGTTTTGCAGCTCACAAAATTTCTTAGTACTACAGACTTCAGAACATTCAGCATTTTGAATACCTGATTTAATGAGAACCTCTCACCAAGACACACCGGTTTCTGAATTATATGTATTCCATTGGGGAAGCAGAGAGCAGGGTAACAAAACCAGTAATAGAAGTGATACTTTTTTAAATCCTAGAAAAAGAAATGTAAAATTAGATAATAAAAATATACATCAAACTAAATGATGGTTTGGAATATTAATGATAATTGATGGTCAATGATACTAATCCTAGGAACCACGGTTCTCTTTACCTCATAAGGCACTGTGTCATGACTTTAGAAAACCATAAAAAATACTAGAAAACTTCCCTTCTCTGTATACATTTTTATTTAAGATTTAAACAGATAATGTGTATACAATCCTTCAGTTTTTCTTAACTGGAGCATTTATTAAAACTTCCAATTTGTGAAACATGAAACAGTTGCTCTACTTTTACTAATATGTATAAAGCCATCAGGTAATCTAACAGATTTGTAGAAACTATATGAGACGGCACCAGCATTTTTTAAAGAACACATCCAAAAATATTTGATAGCTCTACATCAGAGTGGTTTATTAGGTTTTTTTAAAAATATTTTCAGACATTATAAGGTGTCTTAGAGTGATCCTGGTGACATTGATACGGTAACAGTAATACAGCATTTCTCCTTAAAAGAAACCACTTCATCATTTCCACTCCAATGCTCTAAATATGAGATATATTATCTCTACTCACTGCAAATGTCAGCAGTAGAAACCTGTTCAAGAGCATGGGGTTTTCAAGAGCAGCTCCAGATTTTATGGATTCCCATATCTGTCATTGATGGACAAGAAGGAAAAGAAAGGGTAGAAAAACAAAACACCAAGAGAGCATGAGAACAGCTGCAAAAGCTTTAATTCTTCAAGCTATACCTTTAAAGTCTGGAAATTACCACTCCCAGTAATACACTGTGATCCTTTCCTAACTGATCTCATCCACACTGTTATCTGTGGAAAAAGGATCTTAAAGGTAAGACGCAGGAACACAAAAAATTCAGTCTTGAGTGAAGAGATGCATGAAAATTTTGCTACTCGATGCCATCATGCAGACAATCAATTGAATTAAAGGAATCAAGGGTTGGTCAAAGTGAAGTGTCTAAAACAGTAAAAGGTTGCCTTAAGTTTGACTTTCGCTTCTTACCAAGCCATGACATTAAATTTAGCTCGTTATAGTGCAAGCAGACCGGCCTCTTTGACAGCCACCTTTTTCTTGCTTTATTTCAGTCTTTTTGCTGTTCTGGAGCTTCTCCATCTCTTTGTCACAGAGATATATTGCAGTAATCCAATGTTTAAACCAGGCACTTGCTGGTTTCTGGATGTCAAGACAAATTGGCAGCTCCTGCTAAGCTTAAAATGCAGCCTAGCAGAACACTGAATCAAGTTCTCAAAGTATAATTAGCTACTTTCCACTCTCTTGTAAAGAACCGTAAAAATCAAACATCAAACTATTCCTACCAGAATAAGGTAGATCCTGAGGCTACTTATATGGGTGAGTATCTCCAATACTTGGAGCAGAGACTATAAGGCACTTCAACTGGTAGAAAGGATTTGGAAATAACTGGTGATTTGATTTTTTAGTCTTACCTCATTGGCTTCTTTTTCCAGAAGTGATTTCTTATCACAGGATTTGAACATCTCAAAAGTGTTGGTATTATACAACGTTCCAAAAGCAGGACAGCAACGGGCTGGTATCGAAGCGTTCCTGAAAAAAAGAAGAAAACCCCTGGGAATTGGATATACCTTTAACATGATCAGAGATAGCAGCAGTAGCTTCCTATGATGTAAGCTTGCCCTGAAATTACCAAGTGATGAGGCACAGTAACACAAGTCAACAACACCTCAAATAAAAACAATTTTATGATCATAATGCTTTATAGACTATGGACTGGTTACAAATACACCTCTGCCTTATGACTTTGAAAACAGATGAGGCATCTGCATTGTCTCTAAGCAAGGTGACACTAAAACATGGATTTAAAAATTCTGTTCAAATATAAGCTATCCATGACAAATGTGATTTTCACTCAGAAAAAAAAAATTTAGGCTAAACTTAGACATCAGTATTGTATTCACATAAAGAGTTACTGAGTTAAAATTTTATGTTTAAAATATGTCCCAAAGGAAGTCTAAAGCAGACAAAAGATTAAGAGGAAAAACTGCTGTTTGCAAATACAGAGGGGTTTTTTGAGATAAATTAGGTAAAACCCTACAATATTCTCTTATTTATAGATCTGACCATTGACTTCTTTTTAACATTCTTCTCCCAAACTGATACGTTTCTGGCCATTGCTAAAACTTAAATACAGCAAATGTTTAAGTTACATCATAAATACATATGATGTAGTTTCCAAAAATTTTTAAAGCTAAAAGGTACTTCTTCATGATCACCTAAATTGATTACATAAGGTACAGAAAATTACTATAGTAGAAGGAACAATTAAGCGCTACCTAAGTGGATGTTTCATAATTTTATTTTTGTCCTAATGGTTGTGAGCTCAAACGCCATGGTACCATCCCTTTATTCCTAAGCTGCAATTCCTGTTCCCAATGTCACAGCTGTCTTCCAATTGCACTTTGCTGCATAAGCCTTCAGTATTTTACCTAAATATTCTTACGTAAGAATTAATGGGATAATATCTCCTAGGAAATTATCTCAAAATGCACAAAGCCTCAGCAGGCTCCTAACACCCTCACCAAGCAAGGCACACTGTGATTTACAGCTCTATAATCCACCACTTTAAAACAAACAAGACACTAACTATGAAGACATCTGTTCCTATGTTAGTTATACTAACTTAGGTATTGCTGGAAATTAAAACCACGTCAAAAAATATTTTCCCTCTCATCTCGTTTTTGCTCTGTACACTGAGGCAACTTTGATTTACCTTTCACTTTGGGATGAAGGCAAAACTACAAAATTCCAGTCAGAAATGTTAAAATATTTTGGAAAAGACTGCAACGTAACAACCAGGGATAGTAAAAACTATTTTGAAATTCTGATTGCAACAATGAATCCCTCAGTAAATAAAGATCTAAGGAAAAATTTGAAATTGGATGACTGAAATAGCCTTCTTTACACAGAAAAACTGAAGAAATGGGAAAAGTGGTATTTTATAAACATATATACAAACATTGAGTGAATTTGAGACTTACCACCATATTTTAAACTCAGCCCTTCAGACACAAGGAGCTACTGTTTGCAACTGAAAGCAGTCTCTCCACTATTATAAAGTTCATGAAAAGGTATATTTATTCTCATGAAGAGTTTGTCTAAGTAATATTACATACCTATGTGTAGCTGTTATGCAAGGAAAGTGTCTTCATGCAGGAATTAAGGTAAACCACAGTATGTACTTACATATCAAAGGCACTAAACTCCAATGTCAAGCGAGCTGGCAAACCCAAAGGATCACCTGGACAAAAAGCAGCAAGATGCTTCTTTTAAACTGAAATACATAGATGAATTACCCTTTTTTTGTTAACCTAAGTTATAAATTACCCACGAAGAATTCTCAGCTCATTCAGCCATCTTTTCTAATGTTTCAGCCAAACACCTAAATTATGTTACACAAATACTTAGAAGACTATGACAGGAGAAACCTGAACTGCTAAGGAAGATGTGCAGTTTCCACCTACCATTGTAATAGTATCCCTTGATAACTTTGGGGGTCTCATCCAGTCGGTATTCATTGAGTTTCTTCTGGGTTAGTTCGTGCCAGAATCCTGCATCCAAGGCACTACTGAAGGGAGCAAACTGCAGCTTTGAGATTCCGGGATCTACAGGATGGTGCACCTCACCACTGGCAGTGGCCATAATTTTAGCTGATGATCACTGTTAAACAGAATTCTGTAAGAGCAGATATGCCTGATAAGTATATACTCAATAGATCGTATCACCTATGACTACTCACAGCTACTTTTTAGCATATTTTGTTGGATTAAAGTGAAGAAAGCCTGTGATTATCTAAGATAAGCATAAATGCTGCAAAACAAGGATTTGTTACACATTAAAACTAAGATTTTAAAATATCAGTTTTAAAACTCCTCACAAAGATATGAACATAAGCTCATATCTCTCTCACAGCACATCCATCTGCCAAGCCAGCAACTGCTGTTTTCCAAGTCCAGAAGGGAGGTCAACAGCTATTGATTCCAGTTCTGTTCCAATGCTTATCAAATCAACCACCTGAACTCAAATGACCTTGAAATGATTCCTTCAACTAAATGTTTTTTAAAGACTATTTTTTAGCTTGCATAATGTAATCCTGTGCAATTGGCTTTTGTTACTGATCCTTCACAATACCCCTGTTACCTTTACACGTGAATCAATGCTAGGATTTTAAAGCAGGAAAGTCAAAAATAAGGTTCCCAACACAGCTGTGTTCTCTGACACTAATCTGAACAACTACAGTTTTGCTGTATTGAAGTTTGGATTGAATTGAACTGCTCCAAGTTTACTATCCTGTGAAGTCACTTTTGCAAAGGAACTGAGCTTACAAGCTTTTCTTTCGCTGTCTTTGGAACGGGGGAAAGGAACAAGTGGTGGGTTTAATTTCTTAATAACTGCCAAATATCCAACTTTGAGTCAAAGGCAGTTATGCTTTTCCTTACAAGACACTTCCTTAAACAGTCTTCAGTGTAACCCAGCTATGCCTTCTATGTTCAGTTTATCCAGCTTAGCTTCTCCTTTTACTGTAACTGCTTTCTTTACTTGCTGCTAAGTTGTGGAATGTGGTTTTTTGGGTGTAGGTTTGAGGTTTTCCATATCTTTCATGGTGAAAGCTACATGTTTCAGTTCTGTCACGATGTCTTGCTGTAACTGGCATATTGCAAATACACCATTTTGTCTTCCCCCTCCACCACCTTTTTCTTACATTCCCTTAATTTTTAGCAGTAGCTGGAATGCATGGCAGTGTGAACTTTGATAGCTTATCCCTTTTTATTAACACAAAAAAAATCAGTTTCTTGAAACTTTGCAAGTCCTGAAATGTAAAGATCACAACTAACTGCATGGAATTTTCTCACCATTTTTATAAACTTCTTTTTCTGCGAGTATAAGAAGTAACATAAATCAGCAAACATTTAACTTTTACTACTACATAGCTTTTAAGCCCTAATAATTTTTTTGTTTGCAACTATATGTCACTGAAAGCTTATCATAAACCAGGCAAACAATCATTTGTCATAGAGATGTTAGCAATAAGAGTCAGATTACAGGGTGCTTGATGCCAAGGCTTCCATAATAAAACTTTTATTCAAAGGTTCAACAGCTGCCTAGTCAATATGAATCCACTAAGTTCCCTATCACCATTTTTTTCCGAAACAAGATCAAGTTGTCACTTTTCTTGCCAGACAAGCTCTATTGTAACTAAAAATTCTGAATTTCCTTCAAGCCTTTTCTCAACTTGTCAAACAGGTAATGTTTTCACTTTGCTTTTCCCCCCACGACACACCCAAGACAAAAGTGTCCTGTCAAACATTTTACATGACCAAGAAACCAGTGACAGTACCGAGATGTACATGAGTAACATACATTGAAAATACCAGCCTAAAAGCATCCACTTGGAATCAATTGTAACACACTCCTTATTTTATTACAGCATCTCAAGAGTTATGGTGCAATTTAAGGAATACAAACAGGGGATCTCACTATGTGATGCACATGCAAACAGAAGAGCACATGCAATCACCTCTGATGTACGGATTCTTAAAAATCTTATTTAATGTATTCTGATATAAACATTCACTTACATGCATTCTTAATGCAATATCAGCAAACCAAGGTAAATCTGTGCAACAAATTTTAGAAGACTGAAGACAAAATGTATACATTTTGTGGAGGTTGCACGCAGAAATTCACACACAGCCTCTAAAGGTAAGAAGTGATTAGGAAAATATAATAAAGAGAAGAAGCAAAAATATATCCAAAACTTTATATGTGGAACAACCCTGAGTTACAAAAGGGCACAGTTGAAAATTGTGCTTGAAATAAAAAGATTTACCAGTATGCCTTAGATATCCTGCCAGTCACAGAATTTGGGAGTATTTAACCCCAAATACAGATGCCCTATCACCAGCCTAAGTTCTAGCACTTGCTCTTAAACATGCAGACGTTTAAAACTGATCTCATGGAGTAATATGTTAAGTGAAAAACACAGCAGGTCTTTTACTAATATTGGTCTTTCCCTTGACAGACATAATTAATCTGTTGTAAAAGTCTGATTACCGGTTTACCAGCATTTAAAACTATCATGAAATTACAGGTTTTAAACCGAATTCACACAGTCCCCTAACATATGTAGGGTTTTCTACAAAATGTTTTATTCAGCGGCCCAGAGGTGGGTATGTCATGGCACCTGTGCAAAGAAGATCACTATTGCCTGAATTATTCTCTGAAGAGTAAAAAATTTTCAGAGAAGCTGCTTCTGGGTTCATGCCCCTTTTCAAGGCCATTCTCGGGACAAAGAACTCTTCCCTGTGCCCAAGGTCATTATGAACACACAAAAAGGCTACGCTGGCAGCGGCGGCCATCCGTCCCGCCGAAACACTGACCGAGCCGGCAGGCGCTGCCCGCCCCGCCTCCCGGCCCCGCACCCCGACACGGCCCCGGCCCCGCACCTGACACGGCCCCGGCCCCGCACACTGCGTGACTGCAGTCCTAGCTGAGGCTTCGGGACACCGCGATCTCCAGGGGCGCGGGAGCTCGCGGTCGGCGGGACCCTGAGGCGGGCGAGGTGCAGTGCGGGGCTGGTACGGGGGCAGCGTTGGGACCAGCGCCGGGACCCTGGGGGGACGGCGCGGAGAACCAGTGCTGGGACCCCGGGGGGGCGGCACAGAGGACTAGTGCCGGGACCCCGGGGGGCGGGAGGGAGAATCAGTGCCGGCACCCTGGTGGGGCGGCGTGGAAGATCAATGCCAGACCCCGCGGGACCCGCCCCGCGATCCCCTCACCGCCCGCACCGCTCGCTCCGTACCTCCCGCATCGCCGGCCGGCTCCACCGAGTGACGTCACCCCGCCTCACACACGTGATCAGGGCGGCCGGCGCGGGGAGATGACGACACGCGGGCGCTCTCTGCCTGAGGCGGCGGTGGGGCAGGAGGCGCGGAGAGAGCGGGGGGGGAGGCAAAGGGGGGCGGGGTTGGATGGCAGTCTGGGGAGTTGGTTGGCAGTCTGAGGTAGTCTGGAGTGAGGATGGAGGCAGGTCCTAATGAAAGATGCACAGCTACAAGTGGGAAGGAGAAGGGTACCTGAAATCAGACTCCAGGAGTTGGATTTCTGCACAGCAGTTGTAGAGATTGTGGATTTTTTAGGTGAGACACAGCGTGCGCTGAACTGAGCCCACCCTTTAATCCTGAGGTTCATCTGCCGGGGCCGAGCAAGGTTGGACAGTGGCAGTGAGGGTCTCAGGACGTAGGTTTGTTTAGAGTGACCTTCTCTTAGATGGATTGCCTCACAGGGCTAACGAGCTCCATCTGCCCGGGGGGCTGGGAATCGAACCCGGGTCGCAGCAGTGAGAGTGCAGCACCCTAACCACTAGACCACCGGGAAAAAAAGTCCACTGTGCAGGCTTGAAGGGTTAATGACCTTTCCCAAATCTTCACTCGTGAAGACTGGCCATATTTGTAGAGATTGTGCAGATCTAGGGATTATTCATATCTAGTGAGGATGAAATTAGTTGCCAGGTAGGATACCTGTCAATATATAGCAGTGGGTACTGTGCAGTCCTTTTAAGGTATCTTTGCAGACAAACCCAAATGATAACGGATACAAATACAGTTAAAAATAGCAACACTTAAACTTACCAGATGTCGAAATGGTTTGAACCATTGCCACACACAAATGCAATTTTGTAATAGCCTGGTATGTGAACTCATGTCTGTGCAGGGGTGTAAAATGTACATCTCACCTTTGATTTTTTTTCCTGTTTCTATTTTACACTCTAAGATGACAGTGGAGAAACAATTTATTTTGGTGTCAGGTATGTAGCATTTTTTTAAGATAATTTTGAACTCAATATCAGGAGAGTAAACTTATTTTCAGGAGTTATTTTTCACGCTGTGTCAACATTAATTTTTGTTTTTATATTCTAATTCTTAAATAGACTCACAATTTGATGAAAATTAATAATTTTGTCATTGTATTTGTAAGCAAAAGTGAATATGTATGCATAGCATTTAAACTTAATTTGGCATTTACAAGTGAACTAACTCTTGTTCTGATGGAGGGATTGCCTGCATTGAAATTTTTAAGTATATTCTTACACCTTCTCTGTAGGAACTTAAGCCAGGTTAGGAACTAGTCCTCTAAAATCCCTGATAACAGTGGAAAATCCACATAATTCAGGGGCTTCTCTACAACTGTCCAGAAGTGTTTACAGTGTTTCTATATTAATATCTGAGCATTAGAAATGCATTTTTAAGCGAATCTTTCAGTCATTTTCAGTTATTGTGCTTTCACAAAGTGCATCATTAAGCGGTCTCACAGAAAATGTAATGGAGTCCTTTTAGATGATGGAATGAGGCCCAGCTGTGTCCCTACACTTACGTTTCCTTTACTGAGGGCGACATTTCCTGAAAATAATATGGGGGAAAGCAAATACTAAATGGCAAACTTCCCAATGCACAGCATTCCATGCAGCACCCCGGAATTCACTCATTACCCACCAGATGTCACCGTTGACGCAGAGAACATTGTGAGAACGGCTTTTTCTGCCTCTGAAAAGCCGGGTCGGTTGTTCTCACCACACTTTAATCACAATAGAACTCCAGTCCAAGACATTCCAAGACACTTGTTATGTTCTCTTAAAGCTATGTGTCCTCTGACCTTGTTTATTAACTAGAAAACGTTGAAATATTTTACGGGAAACCACACCTGAAATACTCTCTTGAGCCTTAGCCCCACGTGGTAGGAAGCTTCTCCACTCCTTACCCTAATTTGCTTTCCTCTCCTTCTCTTACATCCAGAGCCATTTGAATTGCCTATTCAGTACAGTAAACTGATAAATCCTCTTAGGTACCATGATAATTGGCATTTAAAATAGGATATTATAAAAAAAAAAAAATTCTCCTACTTTACTATTATCTATTATAGCTATCACATCAGAGAAGCCCATGATTACTTCTCCTGTCTTTATTATTAACACATTTGCACTAAAATCATGGATAAAAATAAAGTGAGATAAAAAATATTCAGGCAACTTTATTTGCTTGGGTTTAGCTGTGCTGTGTTTGAACGTTCTGTAATTTTACTAAGGTTTTCCTTGTTATGATCATTATAATTTTTAGAAAAATTTTCAATTATCTTGTTTTTGTTGTTTTGTCGTGTATTAGTACATTTTAAAATCAGAAAAGACAATTGTCATGTTCAAGAGAACAGACTTCTTGATGACTCTGACTAGCCCTTGGGTAAATATGTTTCAGCAATGTGCACTAATAACTGTAACTGACTTAGTGTGCTGCCTTTTTATTTCCTCAGGGATCATCTAAATTACCATCCATTTTGGCTGTTGCATATCACAATAGAAAAAAAAATCATAATGGCTGTGAATCTCTGCAATTGTTTGTGGAAGGCCATGGGATTAGAGCATATGTTTCCAGAGATGCTGCTCTGTACTCCAAAAGAATGTGTATTTTATTACTTGTGCAGATGTTCCTCCTGCAGTGAAAAAGTTGTCTGAATTCTGGTATAAATTTTGTTGCTTTTATATTGTCTCTGCATTTTGCCTTTATTTCTCCTAGATTTAAGTTCCCTAAATGCAATTTTTCTGAAATGCAACTTGAAACCAAAGTCAATTAATCTCTGAACCTTGTATGATACATTGAAATGGACTGAATTTAAGTTTATTCCTTTAACACATTTTTCCAGTTTATTAAAATGTAGGTATATTAGAGCTTTATTTAATATTGAATACTTTAAATGCAACTATTAACAATGAAGTGTTGACAGAGGATAATAATACTTTGACTACTTTAGAGTATTATGTCCAGCATTTATGAGCATCATTCACACATTATCCTGAGTATTTCACTGTTACTGTAAGTCTTCTCATATTCACTTTACTTAATAGGCACAGAGCAACTTAAGTAGCTCAAGATCTTTAATTAAGAACATAGATTTCAGAATTTCTCCTCCTACCATTAAACTACCATTTTTTGCTCCTGATGTAATAAAGGTATTACACAGAATGTCCCTTCCGCTCATCCCACCAAACTCTGGACAATAGTCAGTTGAAGGAGTTCAAGTGCAATCAGAAGTTTGTTGTTAAGCTAACAGCAATTTCAGAAGCAAGAAAACATTCAGGATATGGTAAATACATCATCACAACAAAATCAGAGGACAATCTTTTTACTTGGAAACTTCAGGATGCCTCTTTAATCATCATTCCTAAAATGTATGGGAAAATATTTACATAAACTCACCATGACATGCAAATGTGACTTTAGCTGTTGAAGTTATCTGGTTCTGGGATTTCTCTTAAAGCTAACATACTCCGCAGTGTTTGCTTAAAATGCCTCTCTCATATAGAGAAGCATCTCTTGTTCCTAGCAGCAGAATAGGAATGAAAGCTTTACTGATGTGCCACAAACAAGGTGCTATTGTATCTTGATATACTTGGCTAATCCAGGGCCTGAGATCTAGCCTGCCTCAATTCTCCTCCTTGCTCCCCAGTCTGTACTCTCTGCTTTTATTTTGGTGTCATTATTCTGTGAAGTTGCAAGCTCCCTGATAAGTTGGCTCATATGATATATGAGACTATATACCGTGCTTTGAATTGATAGAGGGCAGATTTAAATCAGATATAAGGAAGAAATTTATATATATGAGGGTGGTGAGGCCCTGGCACAGGTTGCCCGGAGGAGCCGTGGCTGCCCCATCCCTGGAAGTGTCCAAGGCCAGGTTGGATGGGGCTTGGAGCAACCTGGGCTAGTGGAAGGTGTCCCTGCCCATGGCAGGGGGTGGAACGAGATGGTCTTTAAGGTCCTTTTCAACCCAAACCATCCTGTGCTGAGGGACTGTGTGTTCTTCCTTTGGGAACTAATCTATACTTGACTGCACTTAGGAAGAGGGGATTGATTTCTGCTGTGTAACAGGGCATGTCTGGTTGTGAGAATTAGTCAATACTTAGAAACAGTTAAATCAGTGGCTGAGGAAGTGAATGCTCAGAGTTGGTGGGATGAACCTCATCTGTCAAGGCTACCTCCCAGCTTTTCCACGTGAAACTGGTTTTACAGATGTTTGTCATTCAAGGGTTTTTTTGATGATCTCAGAAGTCTTTTCCAACCCAGTTGATTCTATTATTCTGTGATTTGAAGTTGTGGACAAAGGCCCTGAGCAACGTCATGTAATGTAAAAGCCAGCCCAGATTTCAGCTGTAGCTTGTACTTAGATGTTTTTTTGAGATCTCTTCAAACACAGAGTATTCTATTATTGTGAGTTTCTCCTGAAATATTTTACAGCATTTACAACAAGATTTATAAAATGCAATTAAATATAAAGGAAAGAAAAGGTAAACATACTTCATGTATAATCAACTGCAAGCCTGGAAACAGCAGCACACTGTTCTTGAACAGATAGTGACAGCATGAAAAGTCTTAGCAAAATTTCTAGGACATAAAAATACTAATTTTTTCAGCAAAGTCAGTGTACAGGTATAAATGGAGCAAACATAATATCAAAGAGATACAGTAGGGTACAATATGACTTTACATTTCATAAAAAGTTTATGATTTTTGGGGAAGCTTTAAATAAATATGGTAGACTTTCTTAAACAGTTGAAAGTTCTTTCTTTGACTATGCAGAGTACCTCCACTTGCAAATCCCACTTTGCAAGCAATATGTTCCTGTGTTTAATGGAGTAAGTCGAAAGAGAAAAATATATTTGGCCAATCACAGAAGTGTTATTCTATTTCTTCCTTTTCTGTAGCTGAATAATTTATAATCACTGAAGATCTCTATTTATACCTCCAGTTTTGTTCTGCGTGATGAAAGAGGCCATCTCAAATTGTAAATGGTTTACAACAGTCCAACAGTTTGGAGGTTGACCATGAATTTTTCAGATTCCTGATCTGAAGTAGCTCTCTTCAAATATGGGTAAAACTGTTAAATGCATATTTCCCACTTTTACTAACATTTGCTTATAAATTACAACTTTTTTGGTGTTTTTCTTTGAGACTGGAAGATTATGTTTGTTTGACCTCTCGAGCTGCTTTTGAGCTCAAAAATTCAGAGCAATATCAGTGAATGTGAAGGATCTGTTTGAATGTCTTCTTGAAATTCTGGTTACAAAGAGGATACAGGAAGGGATTTAAGGTGGAGTTCACATAGCCGAGCCATACAGTGACCATATGTAATTTTGAAAACTGTTCATGGTCATGAAATGCTATTACCATAAATGACACAAAATAGGGAATCCAGCACAGCATGAAGGCTGCCATTATGACCCCTAACTGCTTTGCTGCTTTCCTCTCCCTGTTCCCATGCAGTCCCTGAATGTTCCCTTTGGAATGGGTATGGAGACTTTGCCAGGTTTTCCTCAGGTAAGTCAGTCCTCTGAAATCCCTGTTCTCAGTCTTTTCCTGAGCACTGCAGGCTCTTTCCGAGTTAGGGTTGGAGTTCTCTCCACATGGTACCACCTCAGGGAAAGTCTGGTTGTCTGATGCAACACTTGAGTCACTGTCTTGTGAGCAGGGCTCCTTCTCGTTTGCGCTCTCTTTCATTGCACACATGTAGTTCTTTCCTGCTTTATCCAGGCCTCGCTCAGACTGGGCAGTGCTGAGAGGAAAACACCTCCATTTAAAGACTTTCCCATTATTCTTGCCATCAAACGCCGTTGAAGACTTGTCAGGATTACTGAAATGAAGTTCTGCCTCCGCATTTTCAGGCTGTGGGGAGCTTTGCTTGTCTTTGGGCAGGGTGTTCTCATCTAAGATCTGCTTTTGGAGGCAAACATTTTGCTCGTCCTTCGTCTTGCTACGCTGTATGAAGTTTTTGTCTGAGGAAGACCCATCTGATCCATTGATGAGCTCTCGGTGTTGGCAGTGTTTTCGAACAGCTCTGAATATTTTATAATAGAACCACAACATCAAGATCGAGGGTAGGCAGAAGTTGACAATGGCCGTCAACACTTTGAACCAGGTGACCTCAGAGAATTCCGTCTCACACTTGTTTTTCTTTACTTTCCTTTCCCCATTGTTAGCAAAAACGTGCCATCCTAGGATTGGAATGACCCACATGAAAGAGAGCAACCAGATCCCCAAAATCATGAGCGATGCTCTCATTTTTGTTCGGTACTTGAGATATTTCAGTGGTTGCTGAACTGACCGGTAGCGGTCGATGCACAATATGAAGAGGTTGAAAATGGAGGCAGTGCTGGCCACATAATCCATGGACAGCCAGAACAAACATACTGGTAAGCCCAGAGGCCACACTGGACTTAGAAGATAGACAATATTCAGGGGCATGACAGCTGCACCAACTATAAGATCTGCAATAGATAGGCTGACAATGTATAAATTGCCAACTGTCTGCAGCTTCTTCTCAGTTTTCACAGCACATAGTACTAATATATTCATGACAATAGTGATCAGTGAAATGCTTCCCAGGAACAGGCCTAGAAGAGCTGAGTGAGGGTTAGTTGAGTTATCTGTTGTGTTTTTTGACATCTTTTTCATAGGCCCACAGAATGAAAATCAGGGCCAATGTCCAGGCCTTGGAAAGTCACTCTTGGTTTACACTTCTGGATGAAAATGTGTTGGACTGCTTTGTGATTTTTATTTCCAGAACTAGGGAAAGGAAAAGAAACGTGCTTAATCACTGTAGTACTAAAATAAAATAAAATAATAAAGCTTATCTGTGCTTCACCTTATCACTGTCCCTTTTAGGGCTTTCCTAAGTAATGAATTTTTACAACATTTTACATATAGATTTCACAGATTTCACAGAATATTCTGAGTTGGAAGGGACCCACAAGGTAATAAAAGATGTGTTCTATGAAAAGTACTGGAGCAAGCTCCACTAACCAATCCAAAATGGTTTGCAGAGGTGTTTCATAGGGCTTTATATATTTCTGGCCCCAGAATCTGGAGAAGAAATTTCAGTCCTCACTGGTTTAATTCATTATATCTCAGTAAATAGCTGATCAAAAACCAAAATATAAACTACATACTGGCAAACCAATTTAAAGTGGTAGTAAAAAGTATATTAACATGTTTTGTACTAAAAAATTTAAACAAACCTGTAATTTACAACCTACACCTAATAGTTTGAGAATACAGCAGTTGGCAGCCAGAAGCAATCATTCAAATTATAAGTAATGAGTAATCTATTCCTACACAATTTAGGCTTACACAGATTTCAAACATTTAAAGATGCTATTCTTATTTTAAATCAAGTGCAAAATAATAGAATTTTTTAGGATTATTAAGAATCTACTTCCCAACTGCTAACTTCATGCATTGATCTAAAGTCCAAGAAATGATTAATAATATTTTAAGTCTTGGAGGATATGGTCAATTGACCAAATTCTGTCTTCAGGACTTAGAAGAAAAATGTCCGTGAGGGTGATACACGTTTTGTGCCATTTTATAGAGCTTGTCTGAGTTTATGTTCTGGTAAATCTCTTAAACGAATGAGGAAAGAAACAGATTGTAAAGATATTAGCCCAAAGTTTTTACACAGCTAGCACTGAGATATATATGGGATTTCTCATTCTTAGAGTTCTAAACAAGGTCTA